GGCAGCAACCTCCTGCTCCCAACCATCGTACCCACTGCCTCTGCTTTTGTATGTGTACATAGTTGTTTCCAATATGGGTCATGTTTTATGTTAGTACTTCATCTAATGTTGCTCCATAAACCGGTACTAATTAAAATTTTTTTATTAATTCTCGATTCATCAAGAAAATAAATATTAGAACGAAACATGGAACATGTAGTATAGCCACAGTACGGCGTTTGACGCACGCATTTAGAGTATAGCACACTGATCATCATTGAGCGCGAACACTACACACACATACGCATGCACATGCACAATCCCCCTCATTTACTAAGAAAATAGCGAAACAAGCATTCGCACTCACCCATCACATAAATGTGGTAAGAGTTGAAAAATGTACGAAAACACATACATATACAAAGGAAGTAACATTAACCAAGTCATGATTACCTCAAATATTTGCTGCAACGAATCAAAATAGATAACGGCGGAAGGAAAGCAGAACTCTGGTCAAGGAAATGTTCAGAGTTGACGTCGAGGAGGACAGTAAAAAAGAGAAGGAGACGAGCTGAACACTTACCACCGTGTGTCCTCGTCCTTGTCATCTGCGAGATAAACGGGCCCGCAGCTGCAGCGGCGTGCACTTTCCCGATTAAAAAAACACGAGAGCGGAGCTGGGTGTGATTCGCATATGCCATTTGGGACACCGCTTATGCTGCCACACTGCCAGCACGGGCAGAGTCCCAAGCAGCACCCGCAGCCACACCGCTTAACCATGGTCAAACGCGCTACGTGTCTGCACAATCTCAGACCTTCAAGTTAGTGTGGCGGAAGGCGCAGTTCGGCGACAGAAAGGGCATTTTGCACTTTCTTCAGCACTTAGGTTTCACTACACCATTTCCGCTTGTGCAATCGCCAGCCCGTTCTTCTCACTTATGGCAAGGATCGTCTTTGGAGGTGAGTGTACTGTTTGTCTACAAGTTGTACCATATTGTAAACAGTCTCACATATATTTGTAGTATATGACAGAATGACGAGAAACGACTAGGCGACAAGATATTTGTCTCAAAACGCGATACCACAGATGACAAAATGACGGCACTATCTCTATGAAGCACAGAGGCCGTGACTAATTTGAGGCTTGGACTAACCAAACACATTTTTTACCACAGAAACGCATGTCTTGGTCTACTGCACACATTCCAATAGCACCATGTTTAATATGACCGCCCAGTATGCGGTGTTACCTTCTCGTGTCCACAGCTGTGGTACGAGATGGCAGACCGAACATGTATGCACGACAGCGCCAGAAGAGCACAAACTGATCGGATACCACTCAAACCACTGCTGCATAAAAGGAGATTCCCGTTGTTCTAAGAAAAGGTCAACGAGAAGTTCCATTATGTCGGAACAGCGAAATTTCTGGGAGAGATCGCGTTATCGGCCAAGTATCACAGAAAATGACAGTTAGCTGTACATGCCATAAACAACAACGAGAAGAAACTAGAAGATAGGGAAAATACCTAAAATCAACTACATACATTCACAAAATAGCTATCTCGTAAACTTATTACGTGAAAACGTCGATAGAGATTAGAACATCTCTAACTTGAAAACACTATAAGGAAAATGATACACAATGTTCCCCAAAAGCTGGAAGATTTGAATTCTTCGTCGCTATACGGAAAGTTGTGCCCACACCAGTTCAACAGTTGAACAACAGGAACACTGCTTTAAGGGCAGCAAAAGCAAACAACATAGAACTTTGAAAGTGAACGCGTATATGCCATGTAAAACAAGAAAGCATAATGCAGAGACAGAAAAATACTGCCCGTCAACGTACTGTTCCCACTGATACAAGAGATGACACTCGTAGAAATCATCGCAAACTGTGAAAGAGATTCAACTTGCTTCGAGCGGCTCTTTGCTGGCCAGATTTACTGAATACGTGCCAAAATCGCAACGTTTCGTCACCGGCTCCCGTTACGATCGACTCTCCATCAGGCGACATTGCCTGTAATATGCCGAAATGCTTAGAAGAACTCGAAAAGAAATAAAGATTTTTTGAAGAAAAATTCTAATGGGATCTTGTTTAATCTATATGATAATTACGAACCAAATATAAAACACGGAATTGATGACCAGAAAGCTTCGTCACCGGTTGAAGGCTCGGATATTTCCATATTATAACCTAAAACAAGCGATAATATGAATAACAAAAGGTGATCTTATTAAAAAGGACTTTCTTATAGGCGACGGGACGGGGGTGCATTTTGCATTTCGCTGGTTCCGCCTGACAACTCTCACTGTGGTGAAACTTTGCACTCTTTGTGAACCTGGAGCAAGCTGATCGAGCCACCATGGCAGGTGGTCTCTTGAGGTACTGCATTAATTTACTAAAGCTGATAGGTACTCTCTACAAACTTGGTTGGTAATCTTGAAAGAATTCCAGCTTCTCCTCTTCTCATAACCCAGGCATGTCAGTTGCAAGTGTTCAACTTCTTTTGCGCCTTACAAAGGTCAGTGGAAACGTAAGCCATATCAAAGGCAGATGGCGCGATGAATCCCTAGACGAGTAGGTTAGTACGCCCGGCAGGACGGAATTCCGCGACCCTACCACGCGCTGCGCAGCGTCTTTTCTAAGGAGCAAACTCTTGTAGGGCCCTATCGAGCTGCAACATACCGACCCGCCCGCCCACAAATGGACGACGTACCTGATGCTCGTATTGCTTCATTTGCGAAGTAAAATATGAAGCGAAGGGATTGGTATGAAGCGGCTGCGGTGCTGCATGGATATATGAGTACATACGTGCAGCCGTACCTACCGTAGCGGTTACTGGCAAGATGCCTACGGGAAACTCGTCCGAAATTGCTTTTCGAGTCATTAAGAACGAAGGCTTTTCTTCGCAGGTTTTTGACCGTTTCACTTCGTTTTTTCGCCATTTTCCCACTATATAGTGCCCTGCTAGCATTTTAGGCCGAATACCGAATTATCGTGCCAATTGCCTTTAAATGTTCCACCTAACAACCTCGTAAGGCATGTAAGAAGAAAAACGTTTGTCTGGTATTTTCGTGACTCCACCTGATTTCACAAGTCTTCACTTGATAGCTCAGCCCGTCTTTGGGATGTAGCAAAAGTGCAAAGTGCCCCTCCCCCGTCGCCAAATTGCGTCAAGAAGACGCGCAACTAATATACGAACCTGATTCAGAGAATACCCATGGGTCGACACAAGTTCACTGCTGTGCTTTGACCACGCTACATTGCATACCTAAATCAAAATGTGCCAATCAAAATGCTTTTGCAACTGATTTGCACTTTTTTCCGAGAGGCTAAACAGCCTCCGCAATGCACCGGTACTTGCCTGACTTCCCGTATCGATAGCTTGCATCGGCTGACCGGTCAACGTGTTCCAGAATCGCAAATGACGATCAGCAGTTCCACCTCCAGACACTAGGAGACCATGATGATGTGGTGACCATGCAAGTGCCTTCACCGCTGCACTGTGTTCTGTGAATGTCTGAATACAACTAAGTTTGCATCTCATGAAAACAGTCAGCAGAATTGAAAATTAAAAAAGATGAATTCGCAAATATTCTGGGAAAGGTATGTAGTGTTTTGTTTTGAAGGCAGCCCCCGCGCTCGAGTAGTACATTGTCGTCCTTTCTTGTGCAAGTAGTGCAGCCCTCAAGCTGGAAACTATAACA